GTTATCTTTATAAAAAATTATATTATTATATTAAAAAGTAAATTGCTCCATTATTGAACTTAAAAAATTATATTATTAAACTAAAAAATTATATTATGTTATTTTTTCATAAGAAATTCTCATGATATCTTCAAATTTATTATTTAATAAAAACATTATCACTTCCTTAAAATCACATAAAATCGTATTCTGACATCGATATAAATAAGAATAAAACTAAACATTAACATCGAGATGTATCTCGCTGCAAAACGCAAGTACTTATCCAGTATGATAAAACTCGGCTAAGTCCTCGTTTGTGAAGATCAAGACTCTAACAGAAGATGATGATAACGAGAAGATGGGAACTAGTCTTATAAAAAAGGTTTAATGGCGGGGACCTCATGGCCTCGTGGTCCACATTTTGTGAACCCTACTTGTCATACCTCATAAGCAAGCACCGGAAAAGACAACTTGTCATCCCCTTGGGTCATCATGTTGATAGTCGATTACGTTGTTCCTGATGTTTTCGCATAAATGAAATATGTTTGAATCCCAAAACTAATTGAATCAAATGGACGTGTTTTGAGGACTTTATGACTAGATTCAGTATGAAGCGGATTTGGTTTTTCTTGTTTCGGGTTAGGTTGGTTTGTCGAATTTTTGTGATTCCCTAGGAGTGAACTGTTGTCCCATGTGGTAGTTTTATTCATAAAAAACTCGTGTCATATAATATTTTACAGAATTATTAGGTAATCAAATCAATATCAAAATATAACATTTGAAAGTTTGCTACACTGATTAAAAAACAAATTTATCGTCATATTAAATACGATTCAAGCAAACTTTATTGCATTTTGCCGTATTTTAAGCCAAAACATTATGCAAAAATCATATATTTATCACGTTATTCATCATTGAATCATGTACAAAATAGTTGATTATGGGGTTCTAAAAATTCTATATTGCTAGATGAACCTGCCCCCGAAAAGGTGTTTTAATTAATTATTCCAAATTAATGAGAACGTAACGTCCGTTACATTAAGTTCATCTGTTTGTTACTCTCCCACCAACTCCTATTAAAATACAGACCCACACCTGATTTCTCGCACTTTCTTTTTATCTGAAATCCAAGCCAAGTGGTTTCTTCTCTTTGCATATCAGTACTTTTACAAAACTCAATTTCCTTGAATACTCTGCTTTCTTCTCTATCTCTAACCACATGATTTCAAGTTTCAACCAACCGATTAGATCAGTCCCCTGCAAAATCCATATCTAGATACTGTCACAGTATAAGACCATGTTTGGAGACGACTTACACTGTCAGAGAGTATGACTTGAAACATAAAAGTTACATTGCTCGTCGTCCTGGCTATACGCCCATGATTCATGTAAGTATATGTCTATATTTTCTATCCAGTATGATTAAACGGTGACTGACTCACTGACTTTATCAGTTTGGTTTCAAGTTAACTCAAATTACGTGTTATTTCTTTTATTATAAATATTACCTACTTTTGAATTCTGGATTTTTTTTATAATTTTATAGACTTTTGATCCCGTTATAAATGTTTGTTTTGACTTTGTTTGATATTTAAAAGTAAATTTCAATATCAGGATATGCCAATCCTAATGTTGTTGAGAAAATTGAAATTTATTTTTTACAATTGAGGAAATAATATGTATATATATATATAATTTTGAATGAAATATAAATTTGAAGATATTATAAAAATTCGGGGGAAAAAATATTAATATCAAATTAACTATTCAAAATTTATCATTTTTTGTGTAATTTCTTTAATTTAATTCTTTTTGTTATAATTTAATTTAAGTTTAACAACGAAGTAATTTATTTTTGGTTTAATAATATAACATGTTATAAAGATAATAATCAAGTATTATGTTATAACTCATTGATTATCCTAATTATATTTTAGATTTTTTATATTTAAAATAAGATGTTTATCTTGTATTTGATTATATTTATCTGCAGTTAGTTACATGAATTCAAACATGAAGTTTTAATAAGTTGTACTTACGTGCATTCTACTTGTAATATTGAATTTAAGTAACATGCATTAATAAACAATATTTTATGCATAAAAATTGTTTTTAAGAGTTTTTGTCAAATGCTTTATAATGTAGTGTATAACCTAGATTCTTATATTTATATTATATTATAAAGCATTTGACAATAACTCTTGAAAACCATTTTTTATGCATGAAGTACTGTATATTGATGCATATTACTTAAAATTCAAGATTACAAGTGAATTATGCATAAGTACAACTTGTTAAAGATCTATGTTTGAATTTAACTAACTGCAGATAAATATAATTAAATAGAGGATAAACATCTCATTTTAAAAATATAAAAAATCTAAAATATTATTAGGATAATTATCGAGTTCTAACAAAATAATTAATTATCTTTATAAAAAAATTATATTATTAAACCAAATATAAATTACTTCATTATTGAACCTAAATTAAATTATAATTAAAAAATTATAAAAAAATAGGAATTTTAAATAGTTAATTTGATATTAATATAAATATATTTTTGTCAATTTTTTATGATATTTTTAAATTTATATTTTATTTAAACATAAAAACGTTATCGTTTTTTCAAAATCACATAAAGACCATACTATAATATCGACTGAGATGAAGAATAAAATAAAATATTAAAATCAAGATGTATCTAACTGCATTGTACGAATACCCTTCTAATAAAAACTTAAAATGTTTTAGCGGCTCATAAGAAAATTCAAAATGATAATTATTTACAATTTTGTAGTGGAGTCGAGGTACGATCAATGTGTCCCATAAATAATTTTGTCCATTTATTATTATTGTTATTATTATTATTATATATATATATATATATATATATATATTGAGAATATTTTTTTTATAGATGAAAGAAGTGTGTATTTTAAATAGAAGTATTTTTGGGAAAAACTTGACTTTCTGTATAAATCTCCTCTTAAAAGCTTACTGAATAAATCAAATTCTATATCATTAAGTCACTACCAAAAATCATGTACAACAGACTTATTAAGTTGGGATTCTCATTAAGCTCGTTAAGTTGTTAATAAGCATACCCTTATACAGAGTAGGTTTAGGTAGGATAGCAGACGTTACAAGTTGTTTTCATAAATATCACAACTTGAGAGTTTTTTTAGCGTCGTAACTTGTATAATTAAATCTACTCATAGACCCTACCATCAATTTAAACACATACAAATGTGATAACGTGATTTTTTTTTTTTTTTTGTATTTATCGCTTTCCTCAAATTATACAAAGTCAACTTTTTTGAATATATAATATTTATATACGGTAAATAGAATAAATAAACCCGCATACTATTCTCACATTTGGTGAGGTTTGAACTGCTGACCTCCTTAGAGGCCAAAGACTCACAAACCGCCCCCAAATGCCTTTTTCGATGCATAAATAATACTGATTTTTCCCTTCACTGTAATCAATATACATAGACAATAATTGTCTTCTACTTGCTATCATGATTTTCTCTTTATCTAACTTGCATATTTTATAAGAAAAAATAAATGATTTGATTTGATTTTTATCTGCTTTTACTTTATATATGACTGATTAATGGTGATTTGTCATCAACATAGCAAAAAGATTATGATTAAGTTACAAATATAAATATGTGAGATACATATCAAATCAAATGATAGATAGAATACCCAAATGAGAACCATAAAAAAGTAAAAAACCTGTGAGAACCAGACCCAAAAATATTCTGTTACATGATTTTTTTTTTCCCAACAAAGACTGTTATTTAAAGTATTACTTTACATATATTTGTGTTTACAGTGAAAAAAAAGGACATGTGACTTTTTCATTCATATTATGAAACGAAAAATATATGTTAAAATTTTTCATGTTGTGAAATTAATATATTACAAAACAGATATATGTGAAACAATACCTTAAATCATAGTTGTCGTTAAAAAATCATGTGAAAAAATACGTTGAGATTGGTCCTCACGAGTTTATAGTCTTTTTTGTGGGTTTCACAAGATTAACTCATAAGATGATAGAGTACAGATCGTTTGCAAACCTTGGTATTAGTACAAGCTTTGCAAATAAATCACAACAGTCCATTTAGTCTAATTAATATATTCATTATTTCATAATATAAATTGTTAATCATAATAAATGAACTCTGATAATCATCTATAATACCCAAATCATAATAAATGAATCTTTATCATTTTCATAAATATATCAATTAATTGTTTGTATAATATATATTAATATCTGAGTCTGTAATTTAGACCACCTCAAATACCTGATTGTATTTAATAATTGCACAAATTTATAAATCTTTGTCATGGATATTCAAGGTTGTTTGACAGTTGCTGAATGATTTGGGAGAAAATAATTAAGTAGTTAGAATGATTAAGAGACTCTATGATATAATGCAAAATGAAATATAATTGTTTGGTAATTGTTAAGTGATAAAATTAGAATGCTGGATGGTTAAGGAAAATCCAATATACAAAATCATTCAGACATTTTAAAACCATGAAAAGGCAGTTCTTTTTTTTACCAAACAACATTCACCTCTTAACGGTTCTGAAACTCTCTTTTTGATAGAACTATTAAAAAGTAAACCCTCACATTAATTATGAAATCACATTAGATTCAAGTTTATATGATTTTTTAGATAATTACTTTTATTAATAAAAAAAATACATTATTATTGTAAAGAAAATCGGATATTACAAGATTACAACCATCCACTCAGGGGGGTAAGTGTCATTCATTAATTGTATAAGGTTAGAAATGAAAATAAGGTCAAAAGGGTTGGGCTTTTTAGTCTTTTTATACGTTTTTTTTATTGTAATTTTGAGCAATTTTAGGGTCAAATTGCTACCCCTCCCCCTATATAAACCACCCACCATCATTCACCCTTCCCCATATCTCCCACTTTCTCTCTCAAATTAATTTTTTTTTACTTTTATTTTCTTTGAATATTTTATTTAATATTCGAATAATTTATTATATTTACGATTTTAACCCTGTCTCTTCACTTATCAAATTGGATTCTGGGGGCATTTTCGGAAGATTGAAAGGACTTACTTGCTAACCTGGCGGATCCTCATGAAAACTACCATGAACCACTCACGTAGGCAATTGCCGCCCGTGGCGCCACATAAGCGAAAAGAGAGAGATGAAACCTTTGACTTTCTAAAGCCGTCAACGCCAATTATAAGATCATCATCATCAAAGCTAGCCAAGCCGAAGCCGTTTGCTCCTGGACCTCGACCCATGGCTCCAATCAAGCCATTCAAAGCCGCAGATACTCTTCCAGCCAATAACATTCTCCTAGCCGGATATTTGGCTCATGAGTTCCTCACAAAGGGTACATTATTCGGCCAATCATATGATCCGGCTCATGCAAAACCCGCACCGGCTTTGTCGGCTGCTAGTTCAGCCGGTTTTGGTACAATGAAGCAGCCGACCAGTGGCTTTGTTAACAGGGATAAAGGAAAGACCGTTGAGCCTGAGCTTAAAGCTATGCAAAAGCTAAAGCCAAAGCCAAAGCCAAAGCCAAAGCCGAACAAGAATGACAGTAATTTTAGGTTACAACTGTCTAAGAATCAAAGGTATGCCCGGGTATCGGAGCTGCTCAAGAATGGGGCCCACATACCGGGTATTGTTAACCCGTCACAGCTTGCTCGTTTTTTAGACGGTAAATGAAGTTTTTGTTATCAGTTTAATTCTCGGTTTTTAATAGAATCATTAAAATCTAAAAAGTGGTTGAAGAAAATGTTAATGAGCATGATATGAAGTTTGAAAATTGCATGTGCATTGAGGTGTTGTACGGTACATGTATCAATGCTATGACGTGTGTAGCGGTGCTTGTTTTTGTTGGTTAGTAAAATATTGATGATGTATAAAATGACAATTTTGACCATGCCATCATTACATATATAGAAAGAGAGTGTTGGGTCCCACCAATAAGTGTTACCAAACATGAGTACAGCTATATCGATATTAATATCAAATTAGTTATTTAAAAGTTTTTGTTTTATTGTGTAAATTCTTTAATTTAATTTAAATTTAATATATAATAATTTATTTTGATTTAATAATATAATTTTAAATAAAAATAATAATTAAGTATTATGTTATAATGTATTGATTATCTTAATTATATTTTTGTTTTTTATATTTAAAATGAAATATTTATCCAATATTTGATTATGTTTATCTACAGCTAGTTACACGAATTCAAGCATGGAGTTTTAATAAGTTGTACTTACGCATTATTGACTTGTGATCTTGGATTTTAAGTAATATGCATCAATAAACAGTACTTTATGTATAAAATATAGTTTTTAAGAGTTTTTGTCAAATGTTTTGTAATATAGTATAGATACACACAATCTTTTATTAACCGTCTAATTAGTACAAAGTGTACTAACCGGGTTATATTCGTTTTCCCCGTATATTGATATCACATTCTTCGATTATCTCATTCACTTACCACTTTGAAAGAAATTATCATACAAATCATAATGAAATTTCTGATTTCACATATGGACTTTGGTAAAAAAAATTGGAACAACCAAAGTTCACACATGAAACAACATTATGAAACATTATAAACTTAAAACAAAAATAACTGTTTCACCTAAGAACTTTATGGTTCACCGATAAATTTTATTTGAATTATCATTTTGGAAAACGCAACAGTTTGGAGAGAAGGAGGGAGGTTGGCTGAATTTAATGGATAACTGGGGTGATGATTGTCTTTCAAAAATAAATCATAATTTGTTCCAATATTTTCCTTCATTTAATTCATCAATTTATATCTCCAATTATATTTGTATGTATATATCTATACTATATTATAAATGATTTGACAAAAAACTCTTAAAAACTATTTTTTATGTATGAAATACTGTTTATTGATGCATATTACTTAAAATTATGCATAATTAAAACTCTATGTTTGAATTCGTGTAACTAACTACAGATAAACATAATCAAATAGATGATAAACATCTCATTTTAAAATATAAAAAATCTAAAATATAATTAAGATAATTATTGAGTTCTAACAGAAT